TCCTTGCTATTCTTTGGAAGTCTGTGTGAGGATTGGCCCCATGTCACCCATGTCCAGATCTCATTTGCATGAGTCTATGGAAGGAGTGGACGGGCGGAGTCAGCAAATACAAGAAGGTGTGACAGAGTGAGAGTGGCAGTTAGAGAGAATGGAAAATAGCAGTTGAAAATAAGACAGACAGTTGGAGATATGAGATAGGAGATAAGATCAAGAGAAATAGATAGACAGATAGTACGAAGAGAGACAGAGATAAGCTGGTACAGATAAACAGATACCTAGACAGCGCATGTGGTGGCAAAAGATATATGATATTGATTTGATTGTATGCAATGAATAAATAACATCTGTGATTCCAATATAATTGAATACACTTCAATAAATCAATTCTGTTGGCAGCAAGTGTCTGAATAAAGTCTTTTATGCTGTGAATAATGGAAATCCACTGGTGGCAGTGAAAAAGAGAAGTAACTTCTCAATTTATATCTGCTGGTGAGATGACGGCGTGAGCCATTGTTTGGTGAAGCAAGGGTCACATGGTAATCGTCACAATTGGTGTACAGTGGCGGGATGCAAAAAGAGTCCAATAAAGGCAAAATTTAAAGTGGATTACGGTGATGTTGAAAGGTCTGCCTTGGCTTCAGATTACATACTGGTTATTTCAACAAACAGCTTTAAATCATGTATTATGAAGTTGGCTTGTTTCAACAAACTATGGTTATTCACACTGTGTTTAAACTTTTGTAGCTTCATTAGCAACAGAATTACACCATGAAAAGAAACAAAACAATTTACTGAAAAATTTCATTCTTGCACCTACCAATACATTCTTTCCCCCTTTTGTGACCAACACTCTCGGATAACTGCCAATTCCTTAAAAATTGCAACATGGGGATAATATTACTGGTCTGGTTTAGTAAAAATCCCTATTAACCTATTTGCTCTAGGATCGCATCATTTCGCAAGGGGCAATACAAGCATACAATCTATGTTGCACAGCAGTAACCACCTTTCTGCTACTTTACAAGATGCACGGCCATAACGACGTAGGAAGTGGACAAAAATTAGTTTTAAAGCGAACTATAAATGGCTCTTACTAACACTAGTTACGAGAGAAGAAAGGCCCGCGGTAGTTAGGACGAAGCAACGGGTTGGATACCAAGGGAATCTGAAAGGCGGTGGGAGCCCGAAAGACTCCAGGGCGGTTCCAGGGAGAACAAACAGGCAAAGCGGGGCGGGGGGGGCATTTTTGCCTCTGGAAGGTCACGGTGTCCCTCCAAGCTCGCCTCACGGACCACAAAGAGGGCACGGCGTGCACAGAATACTCCGCACTCCGAAACCGGGCTCCGAACGAACACAAGACAGACCAAAACCCTCACTCACCGGGCGACCTCTGGCGCAACGAGTCGCGCAGGCGCCGTCCTTGGACTCCGTTCTGTCGGAAGAGCGGCAACTCCGTAACCATGACAACCAACCCCACGCTACGCGCCGCAGCGCCTGAAAGGCTTGTTCTCCCGCCGTTTCGCAATGCTTGCCGGGAGTAGCACTTCACCATAGAGATACAACAGGAAGTGAAGGGAGCCGCCGTCGACTGGTCAGCTTTTTCTCGCCGCGGCTTTGAGGCGTTTGTCCATCTCTCAAAGATGCTCAGAGTGGCATTACTCCTCAACTTAAAGCTGGAACTATTGTTTAAAATAGTTCGAAAATTCCATACGTTTCTGCTTGGATATGCGCAGGAAATTAAAGCGCATAAGGACTGAACCCATGATTAGGTAACACTGAGTTCCGCGTTCGTTCTGATGACGTCAATTTGGAGGCTTTAAAAGCCGTCAAAGGGAATTCTCTATTTTTTTCTTACCTCTAGGGCGCATTTTTTTCCAGGTCTCGCTGACGAGCATGGGTTCCTCCGACGCTCTCCCCCCGGGTCGCGTGCTTTGTGTGTGTGGCGCTGTGCATTGTGGGGCCGGCGGGACTTCCTCTTCTTCCCGTGTCCCCGCGGCTCGCTCTTCCCTTTCGAGAAGGAGGCGGAGGCCGCGGCGGCGAAGATGCTGACCTCGCGCACGTTCCTCAAGCGCACGCGGGCCGGCGCGGTGATGAAGGTGGTGCGCGAGCACTACCTGCGCGACGACATTTCCTGCGGGGCGGCCGCCTGTGAGACCTGCGGGGAGGTCCGCGGCGGGGAAGACGGCCCCTCCGGGCCCCTCCTGGAAGCCCAGCCCAGCGGGGCCGCCAGCAGCCTCTGCCCGGACCCTCATTACCTCCTCCTCGACACCAACGTGTTGCTGCACCAGGTAGACAGGACGTGGCTCGCACCCCAAGACCGCCTAGTCCGGCTGCGTCCTGTTTTTCCACAGTGACTGCGAGGACTGAGGGACCAATATTACACCCCACCGCCCACCACCAGCATTTGGTTATTTACTGGTATGCTGCTCTTGAGGCAGGAGACACACTCAGCAGGGACTTCTCTGGGGAACGTCGGGAAATGCCTGACATAACATTTGGCCACTCTTACTTAGAATTTAGACAAAAATAACGTATCATTATTCAGTTCATTTTGTTGCCCAGTCCCTGAAAATACTTTTTTGTATGAGCTCCAAATGAAGATAAGAGAACATAAATATAAGGCGATCTAAACTATTGTCATAAATACTTTAATGTAGTAAAATCAAATAGAGACACTCAAATCTCCTTAGACACAGGACTAACTTTCCTATGGCATCTTAGTATGGCCACATTTCTTAGTTGCTGTTACTTGTTGAAATTCAAGTACTGTTCAAAAAAAAAAAAACCCAAGCATTTTTAGAAAAATTCAGGGAAATACTTGATTTTCAGTTTTATGATTATAATTTTTTTAAAATTATATATCGTTTGAATTTGTTGCTTTGAGAATAGCATGGATTGGAGTATTTTAAATGCATAATAGTAGGACTTGTGGGCTGCAATTCAAACTTTACTTCCAATCTCAATTTATCATATAGGATAAAAACCATGTCAGATGAATATTGCATAATTTGCTCTTATGTTTTTTTCCAGATTGATATACTTGAAGATCCAGTTATTAGAAATGTTGTTATTCTTCAGACAGTTCTGCAGGAAGTAAGGAAGCGGAGTGCACCAGTATACAAGCGAATAAGAGATGTAATAGCTAATCCTGAAAAACATTTCTATTCTTTCACTAATGAACATCATAAGTAAGCATGGACAGTAGTAATTTCTTTTGCTATTTATATTTGTTTGCTGCTAAGAGATGGTTTTAATGTACACTAGTAATATATATGACATGGTTGATTGACATTTATGTTTTAAAGTTCCTGACAGTATAGTAGTGTCAGAAGGGATTAGTATTTTTAAAGCTATTTCATTTCTTATTTATTTAAAGTATTTTTACCTAGTCTTCTTCCTTAAGAAGGACCCAAGGTGGCTTACATCATTAAAAGATAATATTTAAAGTTACAGAAAAAATATTTAAAAGGATAAAAAAAATACTACATTAAGATGGTGAACAGAAGCAACAGCAAGACACATTCAAAGCACCAAGGCACAACAGTCCATTTAAAAGCCCCACTCAGGCAGCCAGTCATTAAGAGAAAACTTGCTTGAATAGAAAGGCTTTTGCCTGCTTGCGGAAGGACAGCAAATATGGGGCCAGTCTGGGCTCCTGTGGGAGGGAGTTCCAAAGTCTGGGGACAGCAAAGAGAAAGTCCTTTCTGTGTCATTATCAAATGCACCTGTGAAGGTGATGGGAGCTAGAGAAAGGCCACTCCTGATGATCTTAATACTTGGGCTGGCTCATAAAGGGTTAAGAAGTTGTAACATCTGCAGTTTTTTTCTGGCTGAAAACTATAACTAGTAGTAATAATGCAATTCAAGTTACTGTGGGGTTATAAATCTAAACAAGGAGTAAAACACTAATGTTTATATGATGATGTTTTAGTTGTTACGTACCAGAATTTTTTAAAAAATCTTCCCTTGCATGGAAAAAAGGCTGTGTTGCTAACATGTCTACTGTAAGTATGTTCCATTTAATCTTCATGAATAAGAATATAAACTCATGAACTGAGTTGTGGGGTATTTCATGACCCGGAAATAATAGTAGTGTAATTAGTGCTGGGGTTACAGTTACTGAATTTCCTGAACCTATTAAGAATTCCAATGAATGGGGTGTACTGGCAAACCAGAGTATATTGCCTAAGCTTTGTAGTTCACAAAAAAACCAGTATGAGATGGTATGTACATTGCCTGGAGTGGGGGGAAAAGGACCTTGATGGCAAAAAGCAGTAGATGTGTTGGAACTATTTTGCCCCAGATTTTTTTTTGTTATTGTGCGTAAGAAGTGACTGAAAATTGGAGACTTGATTTATTTATTTATTTATTCTTCTTGAAAAGGACCCAAGGCAGCTTACAACAATGAAAGACAATATTTGAAGTTGAAAACAATGAGTATACAGTGGTGATTAACATCATTAAAATATTTAAATATTAAGAACAATGGATAAGGAGGCATCTTACATTGATTAACAGGCAATATTAAGTCAAAGATCAATAAGTATACGAAAATTTTAAAAAATTCTCATTCTGAGAAATGGAGAACACAGAAATGGAAAACACAAGTAGTGCTAACAGTCCAGTCAAAGCAGTAAAGCATAGCTGTCTAAAAATAGCACACGGGTAGCTGGTTACTGAGAGAAGGCTTGCCTAAAGAGAAAGGTCTTTGCCTGCTTGCTGAATGATAGCAAATATGGGGCTAGTCTGCCCTCCTGTGGGAGGTACTGTAGTTGCAAATTCTGGGAACAGCAACAGAGAAGGCTCTCCTGTGTCCCCATAAGAGGCACCTGTGAAGGTGGCAGGAGCTAGAGAAAGCCCTCTCTTGAGGATCTTGACACCTGATCTGGGTCATAATGGGATACATGGTTTTTGAGATAGCTTGGATCCAGGTCATTTATAGCTTTATAGGTTAAAACCAGCACTTAAAGTGGTGCCCGGTAACTGACCAGCAGCCAGTGATGCTGCTGTAATGGGAGGGTTATGTGATTCTTGTAACCAGTCCCAGATAACAGTCTGGCTGCTGCATTTTAGATCTGCTGAAGTTTCCTGATAGTTTCCAAAGGCATCGCCACATAGAGCACATTGTTTACAGAATGCAATTGTTTACAGAATTTCAAGTGACTGTTGTAGTCCTAGTTCTGTGTGGATTCTGTAACAGAATGTGACTGAGGGAGACTAAAATGCAAAGCATGAAAGTTAGAGGACAGAGGCTAAGAAGTAGAGAAGAGGACAAAAAAGAGCAGGGGGATGGGAATTTGGTAAAGTCAGGCCTAGTGGTAATTCCAGACTCCTTTTTCAGCACCTGCTGTGGCCATTCCAGAACCCATATGATTCAGATAGTCTTCCTAGTAGAGTCTGGGGGTGGGCAGAATTGTTTACACTGAAATAATGGTGAAGCAGAATTAAATGATTCCCTCTGTTCTGAATAATTAAATATTACTTTCTAATTGGTATGTGGGTTATTACTTTTGTTTTCAGAGAAACATACATAGAACAAGAACAAGGAGAAAATTCCAATGACCGCAATGACAGAGCCATTAGAGTAGCAGCAAAATGGTACAATGACCATCTCGCTAAGTTACAAAATGAGGAAAAGGTTCGAGTTATCCTACTTACAAATGATAAAAAAAATAAAGAGAAAGCCATGGAAGACGGAATAACTGCTTATACGTGTAAGTCCAGTTTTTCATTAAAAACTCTGCAAGTTTAGGCTCAGCATGTGCTTTGCTATAGTGAACAAGGATGTCCTGAGGTTGCCATTGGATCTTATGCAGAGTGAAAGAAGGGATGGAGGAAAGTCCAACAATTAGAGGTGCTCAAATCGATAGTAAAATGATCTAGGAAACCTTAAGTAGATTTCTCCTGGAGGAGCAGTGCTTCAAAGCAAATTTGGACTAAACTCTAGTTTGACACAAGAAATCATTGGCTTGGGCATACCTTATTAGCTGTAATATTGTAACTTATTGTAACCTGTGCATTAGTAGTCCCTCTTTCTGTGAGTTTTCTCACAGAATTTGCCAAGTGACTGCCTTCTGCAGTGGAGGGCATTCCGAGCAGGTCTTTTTTGTGTTCATAGCATTCGCAGTATTGTCGTCTCAAGACTCAAATGGACCTGTTGCTAAATGGGAATTCTGAAAAATAAAGGCTAGATTTTTAAGAGGTTTCCTGTCTAGAAGCTTTTGTTGCTTTGGTGGCTCAGAAATGTATTAATTTGAAAAAAGAAGTCAAGAGAGATGTGAGGGGAAGAGCTCCATTTTTCTTAAGGGACTTCTGCTTAATTCCTTATGGGAAAGGCCAGAATTCTAGTGGCTAAAGAAAATAATTCTTAGCTACCAAATCTCGCTGTAATTTACAAACCTATTTATAAATTTGATGTTTATACTGTTACCAGTTTGAGATGTGTGGCCAACAATAGCTGTTGCTTAAATAAGTGTTTTTATTTTATTTTTGTGTAGGTGAAGAGTACATAAAGAGCTTGATAGGTAATCCTGAACTTGTGGATCGACTTGCTTGCCTAAATGATGAAGGGGTATGTTTCACACTTATGAATAAAAATTTCTGGAATGTCAAGAGGTTCATAGTGTAAATGTTTAAAAAATATTTTTTATCTTTCTTATAAGGGTAGGGTAAGGTAGGGGACAACTGGGATGGGGGTACCCTCGGAGGGGGTGGATTTGAATGGATACATTACAGATCATTATTTTCCATAATAATTCTATACATTGTATCTAGTACTATTTCTACTTATCAAAAAGAAATATAAACAGTGAGCAAAAGGGAAAATCCAATTTGGACTGTTATATTATTGTTCTGATTATTGATTATATAGCTAATAGTCTTTATCCATTTTCATATATTTTTCTTTCATTTCTTATATACCATGGCTCTTTATTTCCCAGGGGATATATTTCAATGTCTTCTGATTCCTTCCTTCTCTTTGCTTATCTTTTGGGGGATGGTTGGTGTTTGTTGTTGTTGTTGTTGTTTTGGTAAAGAGGAAATTCTTCTGGCCCTGTCTATGTTCCCCTTAATTTCCTCCTTTTCACATTCTGAGAATACGTCAGTTGTGACTTCTGGGAGGTCTTCATTTTGCATTTCTAGTATATTCTGTATCCTCAGAATATATGATGCATTCTCTATCTGGGTTTGAATTGTTGATGCCTCATACTGGTTTTGTCAGATTTCCATCTTTCTTAAGTCCTTCTGAAGTTCTATTACTTTCTTCTCCATTTTCTTTGCTGGTCTCATGTCTTTTGTATTTCTTGATTTTTCTGTGTTACCTCCTCTTTCATTTGCCCCGATTGTAAATTTATGTCCTCCTGCTGTTTGGAAAAGTCTGAAACTTTAGTTGTCAAATCTGAAATATCCGACTTAATTTCATCAAACTTCCTATCAAAATGGGCTGTCTGTTGGCTGAACATGGTGCTCATGAGCTTCTCAGAATTTTCTTTTGTTAATAAAAAGGACTGGGTTTCTTGCATCAGTCTCAGTGGTATAATTTCTGGTGCTGGACTTCCTTTCCCCACCTTTTGCAGCCATTTTTGTAAGAACCTTTATATGACAGTTCTTCAATATTCTCCACTGGTATCTGCTTTTTCTCTTCTCCCTTCTTATGTAGATTTAAATAATCTAATACATTAAAGATGTATACATATAGAGAGGTATAAGAACAGCCAACAAACACAAATCAGTCAGCCAACAGATGGGGATCGCCCAGGATACACTAAATCAAACAAAGAGTCAGTGTTATTAATGACGAGGGGAAACTTCCCTTGATCACTTTTACACAGAGAGAGTATATCCTAGATGTAATAGATATAGTCAATATTACTCCATTTCAAGAAGTCTATTAATGTCTAGATTTGAGAAAAGAAAAAGAGAAAAAGGCAAAAGCTAGCTAGTTCAGTGTTCTGGGCAAGTTTCCAGTCTTTGAGTAGAAGGAGATAAGGTATTGTGGAATAGAAGCTCGTAAGGAAGAAAAGAGAAAAAAAACTTCCAACGTCGCCACCAAAAATATATTTCAAAAACAACAGGAAAATTAGATATTAAACCCAAAGAGCTATTTTTCAACTCCTCCCCCAACCACACTCAACAAAAGAAATAAAATCAAGAAGAAAATTAGACTCCAATCTATTCCCTTTTATAATCCACAAGGGTGTCGCTTCAATTATAAGCAGCCTCCATTTTCTGCTTTCTTCTCTGTAAGGGACTTGTTGATTTCTTCCAGCATGGATAGAATTTCAAGTGGGTGTAAGCACATTCCAAATGATTAATACTGTGGAACTATTCAGTAGTAACCAGCATGTCTCTAAGGGGGAACTTTACAGACAGATAGTTTAGCAGTTCATCACACTAAAATCTTTTAACAAGCTTCTGTGTTCCCTCCCGTTCTCTTCAGCTGTCCACTTCTGAATGTTTTCAGTGTTCAGTCTTACAGCCTACTACTCCCACCTATCTTCATATATCACAGTAGCTTTTCAAGTGTACAGCTCAAATACATTAGTAAAATAAATTAGCTTACACTGGTGTCTATATATCTGGGATATAATTGTGTATGCGTTCTCCTCCAGCCTTCTGGACTGCTTCAATTTTACATACCTGTACAGAGGTATGTAATATTGAAGCCAAAGAGAATGCCGATTGTTACATACAGCTATGACATCACCTGCCCGTCACTGCTGAAGCTGTGTGTCATCTGCCAATGGCGTGACGGAGGGCGGGACATAAGGGGTGGAGCTGTTGTATATAAGGGGAGTGAATGGTGTGAGAGTTTTAGATAGGGCCAGATAGGGCTTTGAGATAGGGTTGAGATAGGGAGATAGGGCTTAGAGATACTGTGAGATGAGAACTGTGCTATATAGTGAGGGTCTGTGAGAGTGTGTGTGTGATTGTTACATTATTATAGTGATTAAAGTATTATTTATATTCAAGTGATTTACCATTCCTTTTGTTTGTATACAATAAACCTAAGTTTTTATTTTGAAATCATACTTTGGCCTGAAGCTTTATTTGAGGGAATGGTTGGTGGCAGTGGAAACGAAGAGTGATTGAGTGTGACGTAACGGCCCCTTTGTGAGGTATAAGGTGGCTGGGATAGGGAGATAGCGTCCGGCTCCCCCCACCTTCTCAGACAGCGCTTCTCTTCCTTGGAATATATTTTCCTCTCCTGGAAAATTTATTAGGCTATCTCAAGCCTACAGAACCTCCATCAGAGGTTACAATTGAGAGAGAGCCCCCAATTTGCAACCTCCACCCATCTTGGCCCCGCCTCTCTCCCATAGTGTGACTTTTCATTGGACTCTGCTGAGAAAATAAAGCAAAAAAATTCTTCCCAAAATAATTGGAAAGATACAGAATACGGTGTGCAGTTTTTCAGTTCTATTTTTTTTCAGTGTTTCACTCAAAATATGTGTTTTCTTAAATGTCCAGCTGTACTGCCTACTTTTATTATATAGTTTTTGTTGCTGTGTTTTATCCACATGTTGTTTCTGTTGTAATATTTCACTGTATTAGTTCCTGTTACTGTTTAGATCATTGTGGAAGCGGAGGTATACACAGTTTAGCATTCTTTGAGAATTAATGTTGATAGCCTAAGTTAATACTGTGTTTCCCCGAAAATAAGACAGGGTCTTTTATTAATTTTTGCTCCAAAACACATTAGGGCTTATTTTCAGGAGATGTTTTATTTTAGTCATGTCATCTTCTTCTGGTTGCTGCATAATGGTGGAGGGTGGGGTTTCACTTAGGTGGGGCTTATTTTGAGGGTAGGGCTTATATTACGAGCATCCTGAAAAATCATACTAGGGCTTTTTTTCGGGTTAGGGCTTATTTTCAGGAAAACAAGATACATTGGTGCCTGACCCACCAAGCGCCACCCTTTCGCCCCCCAAGGGAGCCAAACGGGGAACCTTCTCCCCCCCCCTCCTGCAAGTGGCTCTGAAGGTGCAGGATCAGCCCTTTTGTGGGCACGAGAGATGGAAGGCGGGGGGGGGGATGTGGCCCTTCAGGCAGCAGAAAGGCTTGGGCCGCAAACAGCCCTCGCTTAGCAAGGGCGCGAAAATGGCTGCCGGCAAGGGGAATCCTCGCTGAACGGGTAAGTAAGCAAGGTATTGGAATGCATTAAACTAAGTTTAATGCGTTTCAATACCTTTTCCCTACCCGTTTAGCGACGATTCCGCATAGCGAGGGTTAATCCGGAACGGATTAACCTTGCTATGTGGGGCACCACTGTACATGAAATAATTATCAGATTTATTGTCTTCCTTAGCACTCATAATTCCCAGAGACCTTCGGGTAGTGTGGGCGGCATATAAGTTAAATAAATAAATAAATAAATAAATAAATAATTCTGTACAGTTTCTTTGCTAATATGTCACAGCTGAATTCTGTTTTGCACTGTGTTGAAACATCTACTTCTGAATGTAATTCTTAGGATCAATCGCACAGCTAATCATTTCATTTTTGTGCATATGATTTTTACAGAATGAGATAGAAAATGGAAGGATCATATTCCCAGAGCATCTTCCCCTCAGCAAACTGCAGCAGGGGATAAAGTCAGAGCTTTATCTTCAAGGAACCTTCAGGGCCAGTAGAGATAATTACCTAGAAGCTACTGTTTGGGTTCATGGAGATGGAGATGAGAGAGAGGTTTGTTTGATGCATAATTAACCTGTGGAATCCCTGATTGGGAAAAGATGTCTTGTTGTTGGATGATGTTCTCTGAGTTACTGCACATTTTAACTGAAGGTAGGCAGATGGGATGGGGGGGTAGTGTGCATGATTGATTTCTTAAATCAGCCAATGATTTTAGTGCATTTCAGCTGTAACTGTTGAAGTGTTTACTGCAGGTTGATTCATGGTTTCCATGTATGTCTAGCAGTCTGGACCAACATTAAGGCACCAGTTTGTAGTTAGGATATGTTTGTATTGAGGCCACTCCTGTAGTGGGCAACCTGTAATTTAACCTTGTGAGCAATAAGTCAGTGCAAATTTCCTTCTTTTCAATTGAGGCCTCTTTGGAGACACATGCAGTCCCTTTTGAAGATATAAACGAGAACATTTTAGTTGGTTTAGTATGTGGTTTCATAATTCTTCTTTACTGATGTTTAAATGTAAATGTTTGTTTTGTACTAACAGATAATAATACAAGGACTTAAAAATCTCAACCGTGCAGTCCATGAAGATATTGTAGCAGTGGAACTTTTATCAAAGGATGCCTGGGTTGCACCATCATCTGTGGTTTTGCTTGATGAGGACGATCAGAATGAAGATGACAATGTGGAAAAAGAAGAGGAAAGAGAGAACAATGTATGACATAATTATGCCAGATTTATCTTTTCTTCAGCATTTACATTTTTCATTCTTGCATTAAAGCTTACATGTATGTCTGTGTGATAATTCCATTTGGTGATTCGTTATCAAGAGGATGTGCATTGCCAATGATTTTGAGAAAATTCAAAAAATAAACTTAGAATATTATGAAGTGTACAAAATTCAACATCTGGGGAATGTCATTTTTCTAGCCTTTCCAGCTACAGACATGGATTTGAATATTTGAACAATGTTTTGTGAAGTCTTCAGATCTAGATGTAGTCTTCGTAAAATTTCCAAGGGCCGAGATTGAGATGTATGTGTACCACATAGCTTTTTTTGGGCCTTGTATCCCTGCTGGATGTATAATGAAACAAAACTGCATGCAGTTCCACAACTTTTCAGTTCAAGAATTCAGTTTATTCTTTGTACAGTTCCATCTTATTTCTATCAGAATTTTGTTTCCCCATTCTGATAGTATTGGGAAGGCAAAAGGAATTAATTCCTCAAGCTATTGAAATCATGACTCCTGGAAATTTTACTCAGTTCTTTTTCTTGTTCATGAAATGGCCGCACAACTGTTCATAAGGTATTTCTGGTCTAAATGCTAGAAGTTCACTGTAATTTTCTTTGTTTCTCATGGAACTAAGTATTCTTAAGATAATACAACCAATAACAAATCACGTATCAGTGTAGAATTAAACACGTCACAGCCTTGCTCTGTATTATGATAGTGTTGTATCTAGCCTTAAGCCAATTCTGTGCAAAAGATTAGCTCATATGACATCACAATAATCATATGATTTGGAACTTGACAGTACTCTCCCTGGAGCATCATAGGTTGGGCTACATGTACATGGTTGAAATGTTTGAGAGTTTCACACTTTATTTACTTCTAAACCTAGCTGAAGACATCTCTGAGTAAAAATATGCTGCGACCAACTGGCAGAATAGTGGGCATTATAAAAAGAAACTGGAGGCCTTATTGTGGCATGCTTTCAAAATCACAAATAAAAGAGGTAAGACCTGAGCCTGAATTTATTTATTATAATAGTGGTGTATCTAGCCTTGATTTTCTTGGTGCTTTGTTGATTCTCATAAAACATACCTTTGCTTTCTTTCAGTCAAGACGGCATTTATTTACACCAGCTGATCGCAGGATCCCTCGAATTCGAATAGAAACAAGACAGGCTTCAGTGCTTGAAGGGCAAAGAATTATTGTAGCTATTGATGGCTGGCCTAGAAATTCAAGGTACCCTAATGTAAGTCGGAAATGAAGTGCAAGTATACTTTGTTGGTTCTGTAAATAAACAAATCAGCTCAGTGATGAAACTTCAAGAGGCTGCCATGGGCTTACTTAATTGCATGCTATTGTGGGTGTTGTATGGCCAGCACAGCATTTTACCAGGACCTATCATCTTGTTTCCAAACTACTCTAAATCTAACACCATTGTGGCCTACTCTATCAGAAAAAGCTGAGCTGCTCTGTTCTGAATATTTACAGCGTCTCCTGTTCTGCTTAAGTAAGAATTAGCATACAGACTAATCTTAAATACACCAGAAGTCATTGCAATGGTGTAGGACCCATATCTAAATCCCATTAATTTTATTGGCCCTGCTAAGTCTTGAATCCAATGTCTTGTGAGGCTAATTCATATGCAAATCCTCTTATGCTTCCAGCCTAATTTATACTTTTTAAGAATAACTTGTTTCATAATATTAACTAAGATCTGTATTGCTTCAGGGCCATTTTGTGAAGAATTTAGGGACAGCTGGAGATAAGGAGACTGAAACTGAAGTCCTCTTGCTAGAACATGATGTCCCTCACCAGCCTTTCTCCCAAGCAGTTCTCAGTTTCCTTCCCCAGATGCCATGGAGTATCACTGAACAGGTATAATAACAGCACTGATACAGACAACAATAAATAAATCACTAATTAATTAGCATCTGAATAGATTTCAGACTTTTGAGCTCTAATTCAGTAATAAACAAGAACCTTGAGATATACTTTGATAGTTAAATTATAAGTTCAGGCATTTGTTTTGACCAATAGTGCTGAATGAAGCTAATAGTCCTTCCATACATTTGGTTACTCCAAACTGTGTTTGTTTTAGCAGCATAATTAAATATAGGTGGGACAGTAATTTTTTTATTAGTGCTTTTTTTAAAGGAGAAAATCTTGCCAATATATTTGCAGATAATATGGAGACTTATCACTATATCCACGTCTGCCTTCTAGCTCTATGAAATTGAATTATTACGGTCAAAGATAAGTACTAAGCAAAGTACTGAACAAAACAGAATGTACAATGTACAGTCAACCCTCGATTTACAAACGTAATCAGTTCCGGAAGGAGGTTTGTAAGTCGAAAAGTTTGTAAGTCGAATCAGCAGTTCCCATAGGAATGCACTGAAAACCAATTAATCCATTCCGGCTGTTTTTGGTTCTTAGGTCGAGGGGCAGTTTGTAACTCGAATCATTAGTTCCCATAGGAACTAATGCAAAATCGGTTAATCCTTTCCTACCACTAGGAGCAGACTTAGGTTTAAAAAAAGGGAAAGGAAAGAGGGAGGGAAGGAGGGAATAGACACCTTTTCAACAGAATACCTTGAAAAGCACCTTTTTAGCCAAGACAAGCACCTTCTGGGAAAAACCAGGCACCTTTCAGACAACAGATTACCTTGAAAAGCACCTTTTCAATCAAAACAAGCCAATACAAGCACCTTTTGGGGAAAAGGGGGCAGCAAAGGAGGGAGGGAACGCCTTTTAAAAATCCTAAAAATCCAAAATTTTTAAAAGCCAAAAAATAAAAATACAGTCCGTACAGCACTGGCAATACCAGGCAGTCTTAAGACTGTCTCCCAATCCACTCTCAAAATGCTGGAAAGAGCAAGGAAGCAGACAGGCACCCTCTTCACTGGCCAACAGTTAACTGAAAGTTCAAATTTCGCACTCTCCCCACCTCCCACGCGGTTTCTTCGGTTCGTAGCTCAAATCTAGCAAGTTGAGTCAATATTTTTCTATCAAAGCAGTTTGTAAGTCGAAATGTTTGTAACTAGGGCCATTTGTAAGTCAAGGGTTGACTGTACATTGCACCAAACATTACCTCCAGATAATCCGTTCCAGAAGATGGACGTAACTCAAAATGGTCGTAAGTGGAAGCACCATTTCCCATAGAAATGCATTGAAATGCAATTAATCCATTCCGGCTGAAGAAAAAAAATCACTGCAAGACTTATTGGAAACGTGATTAATCCATTCCAGCCGAGGGGGGGGGAGCAATCAAGTGTGCAAGTCCCATTGGAAATGCACAGAAAACAAACAGATCAGATCAGAATACACAGAGAACAAGGGCAGGTCAGAAATGCAAAGAAAACAAAGGAAAAACCAAGGGAAGCATGCAGGACCCATCGGAAATGAGGAAAAAAAAACAACCAAAGCCCCTAAGATCCATTGGAAATGGGGGGGAACCAAAAAAACAAAACAACCCCCCAAGACCCAGCACAGCACAGAAAAGAAACATAACCCCCAAGCTCAAAACCATACTGCAAAAACACAGTTTTTAAAAAGAAGAAAATGTCACCTTACCTTACTAGGCAGCCTGAAGCCTCCCTGCAAACACATACGCTCACTCAGAAGCAGAAGCGAGGAAGTCTGAAGCCTCCTCCGACGCACACACTCTAACTGCTGGGGCAGAAGAACTACAAGGAAGCAGCCTTGTCGCCACCTACAGTTAGAAATTCTAATTTCCCGCCTTTTTTCCCTGCCTTTTTCTGTTCGTAAGTGGAAGATCCAGCCGCAATTAGAAGCAAAATTTTACGGCTGGAGCTGATTGTAACTCAAAATGGTCGTAAGTAGGGACGTTCGTAAGTTGAGGCACCACTGTAGTATGTAAAATTTATGTTGCAAGTATCCAGAACTGGGTGGGCGGAACAGTGTCATTGGAGAGCTGCGACAGGCTATAGCACCTTCACAAAAGAACAGATAGAATAAATTATTTACAGAAGTCCTGGTAGAAGGAACAGTGTGAAAGAATATGCCCCACCATTTCCCCTTTCCCACTATTACAGGGACATAAACAATCCTGATAAGGTACTTCATGAAATTGCTTCTCAGCCTTTTGGCTAAGATCAAATGTAGTGCCTTCTAGCTCTATTTTGAATTAATTTTTAATTCAATTAATGTTCCATTGAGTATTCCAATAACGAGCTCAAGGTCATGTGCTCATCTCTACTTCTCTTCAGTTTCATCTCCCAATAACCCTTGCTATAAAGGTTGGACTGGGAGAGCATGTGTGACTTGCTCAAAGTCAACCAGTGAGTTTCCTGGCCAAATGGGAATTTGAACTGCTTTCTCCCAAGTATAATGCAGCACTATACCAAATAGCCTCTCTGCTGTCTCCCATAGCATTGACATACACAATACATAATTAAAGACAATAACCATCCAAATGTATGTTAAACTTGCATTAAACTTTAGCTTCCACACAGGCACTGTTTGTCTTTTTTGTAGCTGCATTGGGTAATCTTGCACAAACTGGGTGTCTGTTCGGTATTTCCAGTGTTGTTACCTCCTGTCTACTGTTTTCTAGTAGAATTATTGCACATAGATCTTCCATCTCATTTCATTTACCCTGAGTATGAGTTTCTATAACTTAATATGTAAATTTCATAATCCAGTGTGTGCCTGTTTAAATCAATACAAAAGTTCTCTTTTTGTATTTCTGTCTTGAATCTGCTCTACTGGAACTTGTGTTTGCCTCTGCTTATGATGTGTTGTATTTGCTGATTTCTCTTTGCATTGTGTACAAATCATGTGTACCTTAGGTGAATATTTTATACTTCTGGAGAACAAGCTATGGCCCATTAATGCTTAATCCACAATATTCATTGATAGATTTTAAGGCGCAACAAGACATGATTTCTTTGTTTTTCCTGCAACAGGTCTTTCTGGAATGTTCATTTGTTAATTACTACATTTTTCTAATTACTTGTCATTGTAGTTTTGAAAATAGTGCTAAGTTTTTATAATGGTTTGTGGAACAGTTTTTAAAATTGTTGGAAAATAAAATTGCAGGATATGAAATTCAGAGAAGACTTGAGGCATTTATGTGTATGCAGTGTGGATCCTCCTGGGTGTACTGATATTGATGATGCATTGCACTGCAGAGAGTTGGAAAATGGAAATTTGGAGGTAAGTTCCCTTCATATATTTGTGAAAGGCTGATACACTGTTTTTTCTATTGCAACTTTTAACTTTTGTGCCTTTTGCTTTTGGTATACAGGGAGCAAGACTAAAAGCATCAATGGGTGGTACCATATAAGCGAGTAGTTAGACAAAAAGTTACTTCTCATTCAGATGTATTTCTTAGCTACATGCCTGTAGAGTAGATTCATTTGAATCTAGGTGGGTGGGATAAAGTCAAATGAATAAACAAACAAACAAATGAATATTCGGTGCTCTGCACACTTGTCAAGTACAGATATGCAACCAGTTGTATATACAGTACAGTACTGTTGACTATGTAAATGAGTATAAGAGTCACCTGATCCCACTGCAAAACACTGCTGCAATGTCTTCAAGAAGTATGGAAAGTTAAAAGTGAAATGTAATCTTTCTGAGAGAATATAGATACTTGTGCTAGATCACTTGAGGTACAGAAAGGTTGTGTACAATGTATATTTGAAAATTCTAAAGCATTATTTTCCTTTCATTTACTAGGTTGGTGTACACATTGCAGATGTCAGCCATTTCATTCGGCCAGGAAATGCTCTGGATCAAGAATCTGCACAAAGGGGCACAACTGTGTATCTCTGTGAAAAAGTAATTGTTGCTAGCTTTTTTCTGCATGTCTTGGTTATAGCTTGGTTTCTTTCAGATTTGAAATATATTCCAGCCTTGATACATAAATGTGTGTCATACATGTATGATTGGGAAGCCAGGGCAGGAGAATGTGATCTGTATCTTTTTAGAATTTTAGATGGCTGAAGTTCTGTATTTTATCCAAGTAGGGCTGGCTCTTCATAGCTCTGGGGAGCCATTTCCAAGGAGATTCTTGTGACAGGAGAGTACTCATGAAATGGGTTTTAAGTCAAGCCCTATAACTTGTGGAGCTAAAGATTGCTGGAGGATTAGGAACTGTAATTGGGGAAAGTAGCCTTAGATTAAGAATACATCGTTCATCTTATTAATAAAATGAGTTTAGGTTTCTAAATCTGGTCTGTATATATGAAAATATAATTGAGGTTATTTATTTGTGGTATTTCTTACAGAGAATTGATATGGTTCCAGAGCTGCTTAGTTCCAACTTATGTTCATTGAGATCCAATGTTGACAGGTAATTTTGCAGATTAATTAAAAATGTTCTAAGCAGGACATGGCTTTAATTCTGTTCTCTGTTTTGTGAACAGAAAGCACTTTTTCTTCCCTTTATAGCAGAGTTGGCAACTTGAGAAGGTCTGAGAGTTAATTTTGCCATTAAGGGCCCATTGAAGATCATACCACAGTTCCAGCAGAACGAGAAATTACCAAAAGTTTGCTTCTGGTTCCAAAGAAAAATGTTTTTATTGAAAAACAAAGAAAGAAAAGTGTGTTTACTTTAAAATTAGGAAAGTTACTTCTAAATCAACTTTTTGGGTGGAAAGATAATTGGATTCTAAGGCTGCAAAAATTGGGGAAGGGTGAGTGTGAGCTGATGTTTTACAGCCATTTGCATTCACTGG